ACACACACACACACACACACACACACACACACACACACACACACACACACACACACACACACACACAGGTAGCACGGCAGCTGGTCCATGCAGGTGGAGGTAACTCCAGGCAACAGGAGGAAGAGGAGAAGCTTCATCGCCTCAGCTCCTGATGAGCGTCAGGAACTCGTCGCGGGTTTTGGGGTCTTCCCTGAAGACTCCCAGCATGGTGCTGGTGACAGTTTTACTGTTCATCTTCTGGACGCCTCTCATCACCATACACATGTGTCTGCACAGAGGAAAGAGCTGCGCTTAGAAAAATACAGCAAAACCAGGAAAGTCTCAGTTCGGTGGGTCGACTCGTTTGACAAATCCTCACTGGTCCTGAGACTGCAGGGGGCTTGATTCAAAGAGAGMAGGGACCTTAACGCTTTAGAGGTTGAAATATTTTTAAGAATTTTTCAAAGTCCATTTTTACTGTAATTTATTGCATGAACAGATTTTTTGCTGTTTTCTTTTTGTAGGCCTGATCTTGGGTTTTGTGTTAGAAGTTCTCTTTCCTAACAATTATTTTTAACGTAGGAAAAGCAAATCTTCAGAAGGTAAATGTGGATTGTAGGAAGTAGAAAAAAAGAAAGAAAAGTGTTTCTCTATCAGAAACTAAACCCAAAGTTATGGATGCACGATATATCAGAAATAACATGGGTATCCGTTCGATAAGTAAAACTGGGCTGATATTAAAAGTTTTATACTTCCAGGTTATTTAACTCAGGATGATCCTGAAGCAAATAGAGTCCTGGAGGCTCATTTTGTCTTGTACAATTATTGTTGATGTTTTCCTTTCAGCTGCTCCTGTCTGCAGGGACACAGTGAGTGAACATCATGAAAGATTTGAGTCATAGTTTTGTGCCAGATGCCCTCACTGACACAACCTGGACTCAAACCTGCAGCCTCAGGGTTACAAGTCAGCAGCACTGACCACCAAGGTACAATCAGTATCAGAYGTACTGTATGCTTCTCATGTTTGTGTGCTTGTTGAAAACACGTACGTCGCCTCGATGACAACGCCGACCCCGGTGGGCTGCAGGGCCTCGGTGATTGCCACGGCAATCTGTTTGGTCAACCTCTCCTGAACTGTGGAGGCAGAAGACAGACGGTCAAACAAAGAAAGACAAACAGTCGCAGCAAACAGCAGATCAGGGACACTGATGGAGGAACCATTCAGACCCTGTAAAAAAATTCAGACATTGAATCAATTCTGCACTCTGACTTCAGCTCAGGTGAAAAAGTTGTCACATGTCAAACTCAAGGCCCATGGGCCAAATGTGGCCCACCAGTGTTGTTTTTGTGGCCAGCGAGAGCTTCAAAGATGTATTGTCTTAAAATTATTTTATTCTGCTTTCAAAGTCAGCATTGACCATAAACTACATGTCCCATAATGCATGTTGATTATTTAATTAAATTTATTTTTTTACTGTTATTTAACCAGGCTGCATTCCCTGGCTTGGTTGTGCTGCAGGTGATGCACGGATTTCTTTTTTTTTTTTGCGAAGCGGTGCAGGCTGTGTGTCTTCCTTCTTGATTGAATGAGAGAACGGGAGGAAAAGTTCTGTGCTGATGGAAACTACAGCGCTGCTGCTCCTCCCTCCATAAAAGAGCAGAAACCAGTGGATGAAAGTCAGAAGACATGCRCAGTCAGGTCAGTTTTCCACAATCAGAATAAGATGATCAGATTAAGTGTTTACATGCACGCTGTTTGGATTATCAATCGGCATAAACCACCTCTCTCATTCTGATAACAAATTCATTCGGATCGAGCTGAATCGGGTCAGAATAATCAGAATGGGGTGTTTACATGATGCATTCCTAATGGCCGCTTAATCTGATTACTTATGTCCATGTAAACATAGCTAGTGTTTATAAGAGAACATGTTAAAACACTGTTTCTATGAAGGAAATACCAGGTAGAGTTCAGTTATTGCTTGTTTACAGTACTTAGCTGTAGCAATGAGACAAGAAATGTGATGTTTCGTCTTTAGTCAAAGTTAAACACAAACTGAAAGTTGAGCTAAAGGTTAGTCTATAGTGATTTCACAGCATTTTATGCAAAAGCTCTGCTATAAAATTCAACAGTTTTACATGAGGTAATTAGCAACATCTAGCTGTAGCTCTTCCTGAAGGAATATCCTATTTTTCCCATGAGAATAAGTTAATACAAAACTGATGACACTGCAAAAGTTTTTAAAATAATGCTCGAGTCAGCCTCAAGAAACCTTTAGTGGTTGGAATTGTTGAGATGACACAGATCCATGTTGGTCTTATGTCAACTTGGACAAGATGTTACCTCATCAATCCAGTCAGAACTGAACCGTTTCTCCAATCAGATCATTGGAAGTGCCATCTAAAACAGGTAAGATGTTTATTGTTCATAACMTGTCCACAGAGCCCTACATTTAAAACATCTGAATTCTTAGTGTTAATATTATGCTAGGGGAAATCAGGGCTGAAACAATTCCTTGAATAATTTGAATATTTCAACTACTAAAAATAGTCGAGKCAAATTATCTGCCTCAACGCTTCGATAAAAATACATAAACTATTCAGTGCACTTTTGTCCTGCCAGAATGTTATTTGTGTTACACAACGCCATGTTAGCGCTTTCGCTAACTGTTGATAAGTGTAAGCTAAGTGCTATTTTTAGTAATGGAGGGAGACAAAGAGTCCCAAAACACTTGGGAACATTTTAAACTTAAAATAAAAAAGATAACTCAGCWACATGTTCTCGATATTTCAGCAACTGACAGAAAACACCTCTGGAGTTAACAACATGTATTGTTTACTTTCCTATTGCAATRAATGTTTACCTGAATCTGTGATAATCTGTCATGTTACATCTGTACAAGGAGCTATAATTGAACTGAATATACATAGTGGTACTTGGCAAGGTATTTTTTAACAGTGTGTAGTTGTGTGTTTAAAACAACACTTATTGTGATATAAGAGCACAGAAATCGACTGACAGCTTGAGCTGAAACATTTACATGTATTTGTTGCTGTGTTTCTATCTCCATTTAAATGAGATGCTTGGAGTGAATATTTAAAGTTTAAAAACTTAGTAGTAGTAGTTTGGCACCTCTCCTTGGGCTGCTACCTTATCGTGGTGGAGGGGTTTGAGTGTCCCAATGATCCTAGGAGCTATGCTGTCTGGGGCTTTATGCCCCTGGTAGGGTCACCCATGGCAGACAGGTCCTAGGTGAGGAACCAGACAAAGCGCAGCCCGAAGACCCCTTATGATGTCAAAAAACACGTCCAGCCCCTCTCAAGG